ATAAAAATTGTCAGTAGCAACAACTTGATTATAATGATTTATACATAATGAATAATTTCCTAAACAATTATTTAATAAAGATAATTCAGGGAAATACTTAGTTAATTTATTTACTCTTTCGACTGCAGCATGCTTCCATGTTTGTGAGTCAGTTTTACATGGTCATAATTGACTCTCTGGATATTTATCAACTATGTCTTTAAACAAACATGGTAAAGTTTTGGCTGGTTGTCTTGTATTTGACATCATAGTCATAGGAATTTGAATAATTTCTTTAATTACACATGAAAAAATAAAAAAAATAATAAATAACTGAAAATTCAAGCCAAAACATGTCTCTTATTTAAAAAAAATTAATATGTAACCTTTGTGGATTAAATTGGATTATTAAACTGTGTATTTAGGCAAACTTGTTGATATTATAAAAATGTGTGACTACTATATGACATGTCCTTTTTTGGGCTTACAAGAATGTCATGATTTTTTTTATTTTTTTTGTAGAAAAGATAATCAAAGGCCAATTAAATTTCGAGGTGTGACTGTAAATTATTCTAGAATTGATTTCCATTTATGGTATAATCCCAGACTGCAATATTTAAATATTTGGTGTATATAATAATAGACGATTTAATTGATAGGAGAATCCTCTTACTCACATAAAGGAAGTTTTATTTTAATAAGTTTATTTGATAAATTACCCATCATGCTAATGGAATATTCATCAATCCTTATTTAATGGTAAGATTTTTTCAATTTGGATTTTTTTAGATTGTGGACTGCTATTTGAGATGCTATCATTTAAAATACTTGAAATAATCCTAACCAAACTTAAAGTCTCTTTCTTCAAAAGATCTTCATCATAATATTTGGTATGAACTCCAATAATCTGAACATTTTTATTTGCTGCAGCTAATTTATTATCTGATGTTACTATTGTAAAGACCCATTGGTCACCAGTTGAAACTATGCCATAAACATATTCATATTTATCATCTATTGCACTGTATTTTCTTTTCCTGATATTTTTCTGTATTTTAATTTTAAAAATTTTTTTTAGATGTTCTCAATGTGTATTATCTTTTTTTTCAATGAATTACCTTACATGTCAAATGTAGTTGCGCAAAATTCTGTGCCATAGCTTCTTCAATTTCTGTTGTTTTTGCTTCTGTGATACAAATTATTATTTCACCATGCATGATTAAAAAATCTACTCTTCCGTCACCATGAGAACCAATTACATTATATTGTTGACTTATAGAAAATTTTTCACCAAAAAAAAATACTATTTCTCTAAGAAGTGCATCAATGAAATATGATCTTTCCATTTCATTCTTTCCCACAATTGGCCCTGAAGTGGCAATTAATAACTTGAAAATAAATAGTAAAATAGTATAAGCATGTTATCTATACACACAAATTATAAGTAAATTAGCCAGAGACTGACAAAAAAATAAATAAATAAAAATAGGGGAATGAGCATGGTGAAATTGGTTTCTGATTTGAGTAACTGGTTATATAAATGTCCATTACATAACAATGCTCAATTATAAATAACAGCAAAGGCTTAACAAACCTTTAATCATTCTACTACACGAGAAACAATTTTGGTTAATTCCTCATCCTCCACATCATAGCTTGCTTTTAATAAACATTAAAAAAAATTATTCATTACTTATAATAATAAAATAAGAACATTAATTGTTACTTACGAAAATTCATTTGAGGAAGTTCATTCAATCCACTTATACTTTTAATATTGTTGCCAAATATCTCGTCAAGATCAGATAATTTCTTATACTCAGAGTAATTAATTTGTGCTAGAAAAACAATCATATAAACTATTAGCTTTATATATTGATGATTTTAATACAACATAAAAATACTCACATGTTTCTATACTAAAAGTAATATTTTTTGCACCATCTTTATCTTGCAGGATCCTTTCCAGATAGTAAGTAAATGCTTTAGTGTCTTTAATTGTATTATTATAAGTATTTGGTTTAATGTATATATCATTCTCATCAACATCCTCAATTTGATTGGTGAATTTTAGTTTAATCTGTTTTCATAATTCTAACCAAGACCAAGATCCATATAATGTTGTGACAAGCAGAAAAGTTTCTTTGACTTTCTTGTATGTTGCAGTACAATTTATCATGATAGCTGCAATAGAATTTAAGAAAAAAAAAATTTTTAGAAGGTGAATAACAAATTTATCAGAAAAAAATGAAATGCATAAAGTAATTTTCAAAATGATATCATTCAAACAGGGCGGTTACAAGAAGCAAAAATAAAAAGCAAAATCAATCTTTCGAAAAGTGGATTATGAATGAGGTAAAAGGATATTTTTAATATTTACTTTTCAATTTTGGCACTAGTTTCATGATAGATTTTCTAGGCCCAATCTCTAATCCCATTTCTTTAAGATCTTCTTGTGTCAACTCTAGAAAAGATTCACCAGAAATTTGTTTTTTATTAAATATATCAATAATCTTTATCCTGTAGACCTAAATTATCTTTCCTTGATTGTAGAAAGTCAACAACTTTATCTATATCCCAACTCTCGAAACCTTCTACATGAAAAGGTAGATCTGTTGTCATTCTGTAAAAACGAAATAAAAGATACTAACTATTATATTAAAACAGAAGTTAATTTAGCAGAGGTGAGACAATTTCTATAACATATCGGGCTTTTTTTTATGATTGGCTGGAACGTATAGAAATTGATTGGATAATTTTATTATTAAAATTTATTTAGTAATGATCGTCGTAAGTTTAATAGGTTCGCTCACCACCATTCTTATCGGAAAATAAGATTTACATATGAGCTCTCTTATCCTTGGTGATAAAATTTATCAATTTAAAATATCATGAATGTTGTAATAGATATGTATACATCAAGGAAAGGATTAAAAAGTTAAGTTTATTCAGCTAAAATACATAATTAAAGTGTAACATTTCTTTTTTATTATTTATTTTTAAGACTACGGAAAAGTACAGGGTACAGGGATTGACAAATTTCACTTGTACCTGTACTTTTCTAGTGTCCCTTTATTTTTACTTTGCTTATTTTTAATAGAATTTAATTAATTGTTTATGTTACAGTAGAGAGTTATGTGTTTATTTATATTAATTTAATCATCAATTAGTGGTTATTAAATAATGTTGGAGAACATTAATTTTATTCCACAATATAATTATGTTTCCTTTTAAGTCTTTCTAAGCATCCCAGGAAACTATAGATGCTGGTCACAATCCTTGATGATGGTTGAAACCATCTTTGCAACCACTTTGCTTCTTTTTTGGATTGTGACATGGAACACTACAGGAAACATGCTATATTCATATAACATGATTTTTGCTATTATTCATTTATATAAATATGAGATAAATAAAATATAATGAATAATTAAATTATTTTTTCCAGAATAATTATTGATTGTTAAAAGCAACTTGACTTCTAGGATTGTATTTGAGAATTTTGAATAGAATAAGAGAAAACTCTTGCATAAAGATAGAATCCATTTTATCAGATTATTGTTAATGAGAAAAAATATAAAATTTTCACCTTTTAAATATTTTGTCCCTTGATTGGTCTTTTCTCCATCTCTTGTCTCAATTTTAAAAAACCTACAAAGTGAACAAAAAAATTATAAAATTATATATAGGGATAAGTATATGAAAAATATTAACAGATACTCCACTGGTATCTTTTAACTCAAAGACATAAAGTGTTAATCTTAATTGCGTGATTATTGAATCACCTGCTTTATGTAGAGCTTACAGTGGTAGTGTCGCATTCTTCTATTTCAATGTAAAATAGAGAGTGAGTTAAGTAGGTTGTAGATTAATTTTGTAACATTTAACAATATG